GGTGGGGGGGGGGGGCGGGCGGGGGGGGGGGGGGGGGGGGGGGGCACCCAAACGGCTAAAAAATATCGATATTTTTATTTTCCCAAAGTTTCAAATGTGTAGAACAGGGGTGTCAAACTCGCGGCCCGAGATGAACGTTTTTGCGGCCCAGTCAATATATATCCGACGCAATGTAAAAATAAAATAGAAATAGTCTCGGCCAATAAAATTTCTCCCGAAATAGGAAAGATAGTATCAGAGATATATATGTTATTATATATTATGTGTATATAGATATATATTATTATTATATATATTATATATAATATAATAATTATTATATTATTATATTATTATTATTATATATTATATTATATACATATTATATCATAAATAATATAATAATAAAAAAAAAATATATATATATATATATATATATATATATATATATATGAGATATATATGTGTGTGTGTGTTTATTACAATGTACTAGTTAAAATAAAAATATTTGTTTCTATGAACATTGATTTTTTGCTTTTTGCGGCCCACCTAAAGTTAAGCATTGTTTATTTGGCTCAAGTTAGCTTTTGAGTTTGACACGCCGGTGTAAAATGATACTCCAAAGCTATATTTCGAAAATCGAACGTCTGGCGACTGAAGGTACAGCTTAAAAAATTTTACTTTATCAGGGAGATAAATTCTGTTTGCTTTTTTTTTAATTACATTTTTCAAGCTGGCCGTTACGAGATCGACGGAAATAAGCGTCTAATTTACTCCAAATTTCATGGAGATATTCTGCATAGAGTGTTCTACGATGTAGGATATAATTTTATCGATATGTTAATTGCTTAATTTTTTATTAGCATGTAAACTTGATCTCTTCGGGAAAAAAAACACTTGTTTTCTTCTTTAAAACAGACGGCATTTCTACAATTATTAATATTTTCAGAAACTCGTAGGCTATATTTTAGATAACGATTTTTAGTTCGTGAATTAAAAAAATCTTGTCGATTCGTGAACTATGAACTGTTATTTAAAATATAGCGTATATTAATAATCGTAAAAATGTCATCAATTTGAAGAAACAAAACAGCTGTTTTTACCAGAAGAGATCAAGTTTACATGCTAATAAAAAATTAAAGAATTGACACATTGGAAAGATGATCTCGTGACGGCCATGTTGAAAAATGTAATAATTTCAACCAAAATATAAAAATATGATGACGTGACATTTTTTCAAGGTGAACATTATACTTTCGCATTTATCAATATTTACCTCAATTCTCAGTCATTTTATAGTTGTTAATAATCGGCGAGTTATAAAAATGAGCCGCAAGGCTCGAATAATCGCGTCACCTCTTCTCAAATTCTCCATTTTTGTGCACAATCGTCAATTAGGAAGAATTTATTGCAGGTTTTAAAAACCGATAAGGTTATAATGCAATTTTATGCGTTAATTGGCTGAAATTAAATTGTTCTGGGAGAATTCATCGAGATCGTGCGAATCCAGGTTACATGTAAACGATCCACGCAAGGCAAAGTTTATATGTTATTCGAAATATCCGTATGTTGTAACATTAAAGATGAAGTAAAGAGAAATGAAAATAAAGGAGATAAAGTAAAGAAAATAAAGAAAATAAAGAGATGGAGTAAAGAGAAGTGAAAATAAAGAACATAAAGTAAAGAAAATAAAGAAAATAAAGAGATGATGTGAAGAGAAATTAAAGATGACACGCGCATGCTATTGTTTCCGCCGATAAAATATATGAAAACAGGTACAAAATAATCGAAATAAGTAAGTCGATCGAAACGAGCTGAATAAATAAAGCAACTACTTAAAATGACGATAGACTGGGATAATCACTATACATGATCTATAACAGTAAATGATATTCCACTTGCATTTCGCAAGCCTGCGAATACCGATTATGAAACAATTTCCGATGATAGGCATACGAGCTGCAAAAGACTGGTATTTAATAAACGTTCCCTTTATAAACGATCCGAATCGCGTAACCGCATACGCGTAGCTGCGAACTTATTAATTGAGCCGTTTATTTTGAAAGTGAAATAAGTCACTTTTTCAAAAAAATCGAGTTAATGGTAACACTAATTACAATTGAACGGTATCTTTTCATTTTAAAAAGATTTGCAATCAATAAAAGTTGAGAACAATTGAGATTTGTTCGAGAGAAGTTTTGCTAATTAACGGTGTAACAAACATATTTATTTTGAAAGTGGCGTAAGTCGCTGTACTCAAGAAATTAATTGCGGGGCTCTGTGTAAAAGAAATAGGAACGTGTGATAAGTGTGTGTGAAGTATTGTTTTGAATAATTTTCAGTATTTTTAAAAAACTTGTGATCACTGGACTTATTTTTATAAGTGCGAAAGAATAGTGCAGTTTTATAAATTATATTATAGTGATGTGGCGGCTACCTCCAGACCCGCCAACAGATGTCTACAAAATGTTTTATAAACTAACTTAAGATGAAAAAGATGAATTTCTAACTTTGGATTTGTCACCAAAAAGAGGAAGACCTAGGCGTTATTCACAAATAGAAATGGATCCGTTATACGCTGGATCTCGTCCTGTTTCTTCAGCAAAATACAAAGACATGATGGACTTGCTTAATTATATACCCCCAATATACCACAGTTATTTAAAAAATTTGAAACGAAACACGATTTCCGAGGACTTAATCACTCCTAT